AATAGACAGAAAAGTAATTAAATTATAAGAAATAATAAATATTATAAATTTATCAACTAAGAATAAACCAAAATTTAAAGGGTGCCTTGGAAATCCCAGAAAGAGAATGTTTTTGTTTGTTTATAAAGCTTGTTGATGAGTGGAGGAGGAGAACCGGAAATTCAGGAAGAGTGTACATGTAGCGTAGCATGATTGTTAAAAATGGCATTGGGCTCGAGAAAGATTCGTACAAAAATTAATTTTGTATACACAAAATTCATGAAGTTTTGCTACTTACAAAAGTTAATCCATGAAGATGCTTTTTCATCAATTTTTGCCATCAATCACGCAAATGCAAATTGTACAACTACTTTGATAATTTGTGAGTTCATGACAATCCAATAATTTGAAAAGTTGTTTTTGAAATTAATGACAATAATTTTGAGACCTCACACATTATTAATCTATTTGTATGAGTAGATTAATTCTTTTGTCATTAATTCAATCGTGTGAGGTCTTTCTCATAAATCCTAAAATGGTCAAAAAGCTTGTTTGAGTGTTATAAATGACAATTACATATACACTACATTTTTTTTAATAAGTGAACTGCATTTTAATTGTATTAATGGTCCTTAATCGTTTTCATTGTCACATTTTTGCCTTAACGTTTTTCAACACAATGTCATTCTTAACATTTCATTTATTAAAAAATTTAATCCTTAATGAAGATTTTCGTCCACAAATTCTGATAGCGTGCTTTTAAAAGAGAGAAATATTTAGTCTCAATTTTCTATTTGTTATTTTTTGGCTTATTCAAAAGTACAATGTGCAAACTAATCTTTTNGTTATTTTTTGGCTTATTCAAAAGTACGATGTGCAAACTATTCTTTTACTCATTAGCGGATTTTTGAACATATACTGTCATCAGGACGAGACATGCTAATTAATGAAAATTTAAAGAGAGAATGCGATGAAAAATTGAAGAAATAAATGTAATAATGAGTAAATGTTATAAATCTTTCATGCATTTAAAATAGGATGCACTTAAAAAAAATGTGATGTGAATATATTTAATCCGTTAAAAAAGTCAATATTCTTGTAAAATACTATTTTCCCCTTATTTATTTAAAATAAAGGGGGAAAAGAAAATGATAAGTATTAAAAAGTAATTAGCAAAAAGAATTCCTTCACTGCACCGCACCCCCTATCCCGCCATAGCCTAACACCACCAAGATTGTCAGTAACACATCATTGTCGATAGCATTTCTAGGAGATTGAAAGCTCGCTCGAAAAACCACGAATGGAATTCAAGAAAACTAGAATCACATTGATAAGTGCGTCTTATACACTTATTTCGGGCTACAAACACGGACAATTGTTGATAAATATATTGACATTTCTAGGAGATTGAAAGCTCGCTCGAAAAACCACGAATGGAATTCAAGAAAACTAGAATCACATTGATAAGTGCGTCTTATACACTTATTTCGGGCTACAAACACTGACAATTGTTGATAAATATATTGAAATATAACTTAATTCTATATAATTGGTGCTTTGCAGGACAATGTTGATGAATGTGGCGGAATTTAGGAGAAACAAGTGGAAAATAGACTAAGACGAAAGAAAATAAAAGTTCAGAGACCAAATTACAAATAAGAAAGATGACTCGGAAGAGGAATTGGAGACGTGAAGATGTCGAGGACCAATTGAATAGTGGAATGAAACATGGAAAGAAGAATAAGTGGAAAAAGAGGTCGAGAAAAACAAAATGGAGTTCGAGGACCAAACGCAACGCTGTGGAAAGTGTCCCAAAGCTATGTGGTCACATAGCACATGAACCTATACGGTTTCATAGGTTGATTCAGGGGATACCAGAGCCATTTTGAAATCTACTATGCGGTCGCATAGTTGAATTTTTTACACGAATTTTTGATTTCATTATTCGATTGAAAGACTTATGGAAACAAGATCATGGTGCGTATTTAAACCCTAGAGCCATCCAGAATGCGGGAGAACATATTTATAAGGGATTTGAAAGAAGAAAATAGGCAAAAACAAGAAAAGCAACACCACGAACTGATATTAAACCCAATAATTGAATTGGTGATGTCGTTCTTTATTTATTTTTCTGATTTTCTTCTTTCCACTATGCTAGACTATGTTAATTCTGTACTAGGGTTAGATGAACTATGTAATATGATTTTTAAATTTTAGTTTTACATATTTGACATCAAAAACACGTTTTAGGATGTTTGAATGGTTTATATGAATTTTTTTTCTCCACAATTATTGTATACGTAATTGTGTGAGTGTCGTAGCTTATTTCATGCATTCAAAAGAAGGGGAATATGTTCGACGCGGTATAAATCATCATAGGGTCCGATAGGAGATAAAAATATACAACTACTTCCTATGTGAATCTTTAAGTGCTTACAAAAATTCATGCATTCTTGTATGTTCGCATCTGTCATAGAGATATAATCAGGTCACATAATAGAATATGTTTGATTTTACTCGAGAGAGACTATTAAATAATTTAGGAGCATTGATTCTTCAATATTTTAATCGTGTGTCAAAGTGTAAAACTAGGTTTGAAAAGATTATTACATAGATTAGTGATCTTAGTACATTCATTATATATTAGAAAAACATCAACTTGAATTCGACATAAATTTCGTTCAGTTTAGCTAAAGCATTCATAATTGCATTCGCATAATTAATTTAGTTACAATTCATCAAAACAAACACTCTCATTTTCATTATTTCGGTTAAGGTCACGATAATTCGAATTAGAACTAATCAATCCTTGTAGGATGACACATGTACTCAAAAAGTCCACTTTATCACTTGTTAACGAACTGTATGCTTGCGATGTGTTTTATTCGAAGAATATTTTCACGAACACCCATCTCTTATCTGATCGAATAACACCAAGTATTATACCATTACCAACATCATTTGCAGCTGTAATGGCCTCCACAATCACCATCACCACTCATAGATATTCAATTGTGGTGTGAGCCTTGTAGTAGAGTGATAACTGAGGCGCAAACTCATGATCATCAACACTTTAGATGAATATCTTGCATCAATAGCCATATTCAATGGGTTATGCTACATGTACATAATTTTATTATACCGAATCTTTTACACCCCACTCACATTAGGTGGTGGGGATCACGAGCCGAAATTTTTAAATACACACGGGGCTTGCGCCAAATGTGAGGAGGGGGGACACCATTCGGTACATTTGGCATTCCCCACATTCAATTTGCAACATTCATAAAATTGATTTTTTTTTTTTTTAAATTTTGAATCCCCAAATCTTTATTTATGTAAATGCATCGTATATAGATATAGGGATGGAAAAGGGGCTGGTCGGGGATGGGTTTGGCATTCTTGTCCTTTGTCTCATTGGGTATTTTTGTCACTTTATCCCACCCCCATACCCAATTAAGGCATGGTGAGACCCTTGCCTCCCATTTATTCATTTTATTGATTTTTTATGTTTTTTGTTGGTAAAAATTATTAATTTTTATTTTAATTTGTCAAGAACAACTCATGTTCCCTTTTACAAAAAATAATAGTTCTTTTCTTTTTGTTTAATAAAAACTTAAATTTGAAATGAACTTTAAATGAGAAAGGTAGCAGGATAGGGATCATGTTTCTCGAACTCGTCACATCCCCGTTCCATTCGAGGCAAGATGATATGGAGCAAGGATATGAACCTAATAATTGTTAATAAATATAGATTGAAACAACTAAGAAGTTTTGTGAATTGATTGAGACATTTAAACATGGGCAAACCAATCTTGACTTTGCTTAATGTTGGGTGACCTCCATTAAATTTAGGGAGAATTGTAGTCACGGTATCAAATCATTCACTTTGTTGCAAACTTGATTTAAACCTTTCATTTGTGCTTACACGATATCAAACTTTTTGGAAATTCGAACTTTAAGTACAAATGGATGAAAACTGTCCATTTGACTGTTAGTCGACCATAATATTTAACTTTGACCAATTTAGAAAATGACAAAATAGTAACTTTACAATTTTAATATAAAATACAATTACAACAATAATAATTAAATAAAAAATAGTAAAAAAAAACCCACCCCACCCCACCCCACCCCAATATCAAAACAAACAGAGCCACTCGCCACCACCACATATAAATAGATGTCGTCACCATTCAAAAAAGCCTGTGGAAAACCAATCTAGTCATTTCGTTACTAGAACCATCATGACTACCGCTAGGCCGATGCCCATAGCTTCTTCTACGTCAGCATCTGGGGTGCTTGAGCTAGTGCATCTAACAATATTACACTTTCACCTCATCATCTACTCAACAAATTGCAGTTTGGTTCTAAAAATCATTTGTCTGTGACCCCAAAATGTTAACGGGGTAGAATAAGGGACACCCAACAGACTAGGTCCCAACCATTCTTGATTCCTAAAATTCATCAAGTTTTCACAACCCATTTGATTCTCATCAAAACATGTCAAAAACCTACAAATTATTTTCCTGAAATTAGCAATAAATTCTCCGATTTTAGGTCCATCTTCCTCACATTCTCTAGTTGAATCGCCAAAATATCATGCTGATTTGGGAATTAAGACTCAAAATCTCCGATTTCAAATCCAAATTCAGAAAAAAAAAAGTCTTTATTAAATTTGCGTAAATCAGACACTATTCTTTTCTTGACATTTAGTAGCGATTTGGACTCCATTTTATAAACCTTTTTTTTTCATTAATAGTATATTGTAACTATTTTTATCAAATTTTCAACTAAAAGATTTTGAACTTATCTTGCAATTTAAGATAATGCAACACTTAAATCTCAATTGACACCTTTGTCATTTGCAAAGAGGTATTTAGTGAGCTTTTACGTCTTTTGGATTCTTATTTAGTGAGACGAAGCAATAAAAAGAGGCCCTTGTCTCTTGATCGAAGCAACCTCATGGATTCGTTTTTTGGATTCTTATTTAGTGAGACAAAGCGATAGAGGAAAAGACGATGAAGCATAAAATGGTGAGTATTGGCGATGACAATGGTGAGTACTTTTTCATTCTTCGTAATATTTATTTAACAGAGTGGAATATTGTAAATTTAATTTGTTTTGTGTTAAAATTTGGCAGAAATTACATTCGAAACAAGAGACTTCTGTCCTGCACACTTGTTGTTCAAAATTGAGTCATTCTCCTTGCTTTCAGAGAATGGTATAGACAAGATTGAATCAAGTGAATTTGAATTAGACGATAACTACAAATGGTATTTCTTGTTATCAAATCATCAATAATCATTTGTACAAACCCACTAGTTTTCCATAATTTTCCATGTAAATTTCTCTATTAGGAAGTTGATAATATATCCCGAAGGGCGATATGCAAAGGATGGAGCAAATCATGTTTCTGCTTACTTGGCTGTAGAAAATAAAAGTAAACCGGATGCTGGCTGGGAATTGAATGCGGTCGTCAGCATCTTTCTGCTTAATCACAAACTTGACAAATATATGTTTAAGAAAGGTATTATCTACTACTAAATAGAATAGAAGAGCATTTACTATAAATTTAATCTCAAGTTAATCACTCGGTGCAGGTCAACGACGTTTTCATCTTCTAAACCCTGAGTGGGGCTTTTCCAAATTCATCGTGAAGGAAACTTTGACAAATCCAAGTAATGGATTCCTTGTCGATGAGTGTTGTGTATTTGGAGCGGAGGTTTTTGTTGTCAAGAACGAAGGAATTAGAGAAACTTTGACAAATCCAAGTAATGGACACCTTGTCGATGATAGTTGTGTATTTGGAGCGGAGGTTTTTGTTGTCAAGAACAAAGGAATTAGAGAGTGCATGTCTATCTTGAAAGTAACTAATTCCTTTAAGCATGAACTGAAGATTTCAAAATTTTCAAAATTGGAAAAGGAATGGAATTCTAAAGAGTTCAATGCTGGGGATCATAAATGGTACATCTCTATGTGATTTTCTTCTGCAACGATACATCTTTCCTTTACTAGACCTCTCGATTCCAAATTCTTTTGTTTTTTTGTTGGTAATTTTAGGAAGGTTTGTGTGTATCCGAAAGGAAATGGAGCACAAAATGGAAGTCATGTTTCCATTTTCTTGCATAAAGTAGGATTTTCCTCAGGTGAAAAAGTTAAGGCTGATTGCTCCATATGCATAAAGAACCAGTCTAAAATTGGCAATCGCAAGTATCAATGTAAGACGACAACTTTCTTCTGTTGCTGAACTTTATGTTATTAATGTTATCATGATATTTGAATTCAATATTTTTGCAGTCAATCGCTTGTTCTCGGCTTCTAGCAACAGTTGGGGATGGCCTAGTTTCATTCCAATCGCTGATATGAAACAACCAGGATGTTTAGTTGGAGATGTCTGCATTATTGAAGTTGAAATTTCTATTCAAGCTGTCTTACGTAGTTTACCGTAAGATTCCATCTTCTGGAATAAAATTGGATTTAAAATGTAATGTTGCGTGCTTTTTTTTCATTATTATTAAGTGTGTCTAGATTGTAACGTTATATTTATTGTTTAATTAATATAATTATCCTCGTTGTGACTAAGTCTATTTATTACACGTGACTTGATGCTCTAGACGATCGACATGTCCATTAATTTAAATTTAATATGTTTATAATTTTAGCGAATTATTGTACAATATTTTTATTTTATTATTTGTACTTTTAACATGTTTTGTGATACGTAATTAATGCACAATTCGAGGTTGTGTGCCTCCTCAGCAGAAAAGAGAAGATGGAATTGAAGAAATTTGATATATATTGCTTGTTTTCTNAGCAGAAAAGAGAAGATGGAATTGAAGAAATTTGATATATATTGCTTGTCGTCTTTCCCGCAAAGCTTTTACATATATAAGGGAATATGCAGATCCCATGGCCTTACAATTGGACACATGTCCAGTTTGTTGTAACAAAACAAAACAGAAATAACAATTATAAAAGACTTGACTGTGGTAAACAAATTTTTAACACTGGTACTCCTTAAGGCACGTGGGTGCCTAACATGCTCTTTTTATTGCCGAATCCTTCTCTTGCTTTGTTCATGTGGCAGCTATTTCGGTATCATTCCCCACCCCTTCATACACAACATTGTCCTCAAGATCAAAATTCGGATAGAGAGCTTTGAACTCTTCAATAGAAATCCAAGTGGCGTCTTCAAGTAACATACTATCCCATTGTACCAGTAACTGCAACTTGAGGTCCTCTTCGATATGCCCATGCTGAGTTCAAAGAATAGCAATGGGTTGAATGATAGGATGATTGTCAATTGTACTGGAAGGTAGCTACGCCACATGAATGTTTGTGTCCTGTTTGTACGACTTTAAAACTGACACATGGAACATAGGATGAAGCTTGACATGCTCCGGAAAGGGAACGGTCCATAGAAATGTTTGTTGAGTTTGGTATAAGGTTGCTGTGATAATGTAGTCTGTCGATAAGGTTGCGGCTTTACCAACACCATATCACCTACTTTGAAGTGTTGTTCACGCCTATGTTTATCAACATATTGCCTCATTCTGTTCTGGGCATATTGTAGATGCATTTTCAATTCCCTTAATAGCTGGTCCCTTCTTTTCAAGGTTTCTTCCACGGCTTCCACAACAGTATCTGGACGTGAGCAAGGTAACAAAGGTGGTGGGAGCCGACCATAGACCACCTAAAAAGGCGTAGTCTTGATTGAAGAATGATATGCAGTATTGTAAGAATACTCTGCCCAAGGTAAATATTTATGCTAATGTGTGGGATGATCAAAAGTGAAGCTATGAAGATACTGTTCCAGCCCCTGTTTGTGACTTCCGTTTGGCCATCCGTTTGTGGGTAGTATGCATTACTGAACATCGGCTTAGTTCCGCTAAGGCAAAATAATTCTTGCCAAAATGTGCTAATGAAAATGGGATCTCGGTCAGTGATAATGGTAGATGGAATGCCATGCAATTTACAAATATTCTGAACAAAGGTGTTGGCGACAACCGTTGCATTGGAACCAATTGGAAGGGAAACAAAGTGGGCATACTTTGACAATCGATCTACAACCACCATAATGGATGTAAACACATGAGATAGCGGATGCCCTATAAAGAAATCCATAGTCAAGTCTTCCCATAACAGGAGCTAAAGTCTCATATTTTGTCTGTTGACACATAGGACATGTTTGAACAAAATGCTTAATATCTTCTCGCATACGTGGCCATTCAAATTGTGACTGTACTCGAGCAATAGTTCGGAATATACCACTATGCCCACTAATAGGTGTGTCATACAACTCTCGAATGATGTCAAGCTTGTGGTTAGATTCCGAGCTCACCACGATACGTCCTTTGTACCAAATCAATCCTTTGTGTATCCGATGCAGGGCAAAGGTTGCACCATCTTGGGCAATAGCTTACTGTAATTGAATGAGGTCTGGTAATTGATTAGTCTCATGTTTCAATTCTTCAAAAAGCTGGCTAGTTTGATGCGCTAACGTCAACAACATTATTGGCACTTCGAAAGTAACATTCTCTTCATCCTTTCTAGAAAGAGCATCCGCCACTCGATTGCTGGCTCCCGAATTGTAGACAATTTCAAAGTTGAAACCAATTAATTTAACTAGGAACCTCTGCTGCTCTGGTGTTTGAATTGTTTGTGACATCAATTCCCTAATATTCTTGTGATCAGTTTTGATGAGAAATTTTCTGCCCAAAATATATTGACGCCATTTAGCCACTGCTTCTGTAATTGCATACAACTCCCGAACAAAAGTGGAAGCTTGCTGCATTTTGGGATTTAACTTTTTGCTATATTATGCAATAGGATGTGAAGCTTGAATCAAGACAGCTCCTATCCCAACCCCTGATGCATCAGTTTCTGTAGTGAATGGTTGCTCGAAGTCAGGTAAAGCTAGCACTGGAGCCTGCGTCATGGCTGATTTTAACTGTTGAAAGGCTTCGTTAGCAACTAGAGACCATTTGAAAGCGTCTTTTTGAAGTAATGATGTGAGTGGAGCGACTATGGTTGCATAATTCTTTACAAAACGATGGTAATAACCAGTACGACCAAGGAAACTGCGAAACTATCGAATATTTACTGGTGTTTTCCACTATAACATAGACTGAATCTTGGAGGTTTCAGGAGTAACCCCACTAGCAACACGATGTGGCCCAAATATTCAATTTGATTCTGTGCGAATTTGCATTTACTCCTCTTAGTATACCAGGAATTGTCTTTTAAGCACCCTAATACCTGTTGTATGTTCAGCATGATTAGTTAGCGTTTTACTATACACTAAAATATCATCGAAAAAGATAATCACAAATTTTCTCAAGAATGGTTTGAGCAAGCTATTCATAGCAAATTGAAATGTCGAAGGAACATTCATGAGGCCAAAAGGCATCAAAACAAATTCATTGTGACCCTTGTGAGTTCTAAATGTTGTTTTGTGAATGTCCTCAGGCTTCATTCGTATTTAGTGGTACCTGGCACAGAGATCAATCTTGGAGAACACCGTGGATTGGAAGAGTTCATCCAATAACTCATCGACTGTAGGAATAGGAAACTTATCGTGTATGGAAATTTGATTGAGATCTCTATAGTCTACACAAAATCGCCATGTGACATCCTTCTTTTTCACCAACAACACGGGAGAAGAGTAAGGACTTTTACTTGGTCTTATTACTCCAGAGGCCAACATTTCTGCTACGAGTTTCTCTATTTCTCCCTTTTGGAAATGGGGGAACCGATATGGTTGCACGCTAACTGGTTTTGTTCTAGGTATAATATGAACAAAACTTATCGTGTATGGAAATTTGATTGAGAGCTCTATAGTCTACACAAAATCGCCATGTGACATCCTTCTTTTTCACCAACAACACGGGAGAAGAGTAAGGACTTTTACTTGGTCTTATTACTCCAGAGGCCAACATTTCTGCTACGAGTTTCTCTATTTCTCCCTTTTGGAAATGGGGGAACCGATATGGTTGCACGCTTACTGGTTTTGTTCTAGGTATAATATGAATTTGATGATCATGGTCTCGTTGAGGAGGTAAAGCCTCAGGTTTTCAAACACATTCTGATTTCTGATTAAAACATTATGTATCTCCCCATTTATTCCAGTCATCTCGCTTTCTAACTCTTCTCCAGATTGTTCCATTGAAGATAGTTGATAACAACACATGATAGCATCAGTTGTAACCAGCCTCCTTATTTGGTTAAAATGGATGGCCGTAGGAGCAATGAAGGACTCGTCCTTGAGCTCTACTTGTTGTCCTTCCCACTAAAAATACATGGTTAGAGCCTTGTAATCCATCACTACCGGCCCTAGTAGTTCCAGCCATTGTACTAGCACGACATTTGCCCCTCGTATTGGTAAGATGTGGAAATTAACTAGAAATGAATGTTGTTGGATCTGTACTGGAAGCAACGGGCAACGCCCTGTACAAGCCATGGACTATCCATTCCCAACCAATACAGAAAAGTGTTTGGAGGGGAGGATGGGAAATCGTAAGTGCTGACCCAGTCGCTCTTGGATGAAGTTGTGAGTGGACCCTCCATCAATAAGAATTTGAACTTCTTGTCTTGTGATTTCCCAAATTTCTCATCACAGTTAAAGCACAGCCCCTTCTCCCTTCGTTCCATCATTTCAACTGTCGACAATCTCTTAACTGGTATACCTCAACTCTTAACATTACTCAAGGCATTACTTGGAGGAATTTTGGGAGTATGTAATAGGGGTGGACTTGGATGTGGCTTAATATTCAGGACCAGAATATGTCGGCTAGGAAAATTTCTTGTACCCATATCATTGAATTTATCTTCCATCAGCTTAGCCAAATTTACAGCTTGTATAAGAGATTTTGGTTGCAATGCACATACCTCTCGTCGAATATCTTGGCGCAACCCTGATTCAAAACAGCTTTGAAGAAACGACGTCGAAACTCCAGTTGTTTGATTATCCAAAGCTTTGAATCTCGATTAATATTTAACCACACTGGTTGTTTGGGTAAGCTTGGCTAGCTTACCTTGGAAGTCCCTGTACTCCGATGGACCAAATCGAACCAAGAGTGCCTTAAGGAATTCCTGCCAGGATGGAAGTAATCGATTACGATACATCCATTGATACCAATGCAGTGCATCAGCATCTATATGAAAAGAAGTTATAGTCAATCGTTTTTTATCTAGAGTCTCATGAAAGTTGTGAATCCTCTCCATTGAAACGTGGAACATCGAGCTTTAGAGTTCGTATAGGTTGCACGGTATGTGCCTCCTCCCACTAATGCCTGCTCCTGTCTGCCGGTTGGAATTGTAGACAATCCTGATACATCAACAAGAGGATTCCTCACATTCTATTCTAATCGACCTTCCATTGACGTCAATTTCAAGTTGATTTCCTTGAGAATGTTGCCAAAGGAACTGAACTGTTCATCATGCGAAGACA